AAATTCACTGGTCCCGATGACTCAGTAGTTCTAGTTCAGTTATTAATGGACACGAAATTCGGAGTATGTGTCAGAAGGAATTGATCAAAACACACTCCCTGCAGTTAATTCAAAATTTATTATGTTGTTTATAAATCAATCTCGTTTATGACAAGACCAATCAGTCTTATATATAAGCCGGGATTATAGTCGTGTTCAGGCTCCACCAAGTACAGACTAAGTAAGATTTAAGCTAATTGTATATCGGGTAGCTCCAATTACGTTCACGCACGGGGGGAACAGTGGTTAGCATAGGCCATAGACCTTAGAAAGAGATTCTAAGGTCTATGCACAGGCTAAGGAACAAATTCTCAGCCTTCTAGACTATGATTGCTTAGTACAGTGAACTTTATTGTTAAAGCGCGGTAGTGGTCGCGCTGCGCATGTGCGAGATATATGGGTCTCATATAAACAAAGGTGGCGACTTTGACTTTTGCGCAGATCAACGAGTACGAACTGACACATTCTCAAGCTTTAATTAGGTAATTTTCATGTGATTGGAAGGAATCGAAAGAGTCACCGGCGGTAATCAGTGCAAATCGCGCCCAGGTCAAACCTCATACTTGTGATTTTCATTTGAAGAACGCATTGGATTGTTGGAAAATCAATGTTTATCCACACAAATGTCGCACATGCGCAGCGCGACGACTACCGCGCTTTAACTGAGCATATATCGATATAACTTTACCTAACCAAGTAAGTCACCTTTTTCTCAGCTGTATGATTACGACAGACGTTTAACGACTAAAATATGGTACATATAGGCTATAGCAACCGTTATTTAAAACATATGCACATTGAACAAAACTAAAATTAACTGGGCTTTAAAATTTATGTGGATATTACTCTGACATTTTGTGTTTCCGGTTCCGGTGTACCCTCATATATGCGTCTATTCGGTAGAATACGAGAAATCACGTGATGATTTTGAAAATAGAGAATATATCATTTTTAATGATTCCAGCGATACTATGATCACAGTGTGTTTCGCTATTCGGAACTGTTATAATGACATCATGACAATTCAATGCACAATTCCGATGTCAACCAGATGCAGTCAAAACACACGTACTTGCGAACCTTAACAATATTCCCAAGTCGTATTGATTAGTGATTGAACCTCATATGAAGCGAATACTTTTTGCGACTGATCAATCAATATTATGTTAATTACATTTTGTTTGTACCGATCCCACTGAAAGTGAATGTGATTCATTATAGTTTGGCTACTAGTTATCGGGCGGGGCTGGACCCAAATAAAATGGAATTGAATGTTGGTATTTTCCACCTTTCGGTTATTCGCGCCCTCTAACGGCTTAATCCCTTTGTGGCGTCAACATGACATAGGCGAGTGAAAGCAGTGCCATTCGAGTCATTCGTCATTTAGTGTCCCCAGGACACAGGGATATCGACGCCAGAAATTTCTGTTGTTTTTACTTAATTGAATTAAATACTTCACACCCACTTGAAAGAAACATCGCACCTCACGCGCTAATGGTCCGAATGTAATGTCTGCAATTTCGGTTTAATTTGGTTTTATAAGAGTCACGCCTACTCACAATCTCCCTTATCTCATCTCTCATTCACGGCCCGGAAATTAAACCAAAACATATTAGTCAGATCATTCAAGAGGTTTTAACTCAACTGTCTTCCTAAAACTGTGCAAGAATTGTCATAAGCATCAGGAATATTGCTGGATATTAATTACAGTACGTTAATCTCCTTGAGAATGCCAATGGGAATAATTACGTCAATGTCATTGAGAATAATTACATCGTAGCCATTGAGAATAATTACGTCAATGCCATTGAGAATAACTACGTCAATGTCATTGAGAATAACTACGTCAATGCCATTTAGAATAATTACGTCAATGTCATTGAGAATAATTACGTCAATGCCATTGAGAATAATTACGTCAATGTCATTGAGAATAATTACGTCAATGCCATTGAGAATAATTACGTCAATGTCAGTGAAAATAATTACGTCAATGTCATTGAGAATAATTAAGTCAATGTCAATGGGAATAATTACGTCAATGCAATTGAGAATAATTAAGTCAATGTCATGGAGAATAATTACGTCAGTGCCATTGAGAATAATTACATGAATGCCATTGAGAATAATAACATCAATGCCATTGAGAATAATTACGTCAATGTCATTGAGAATAATTACGTCAATGTCAATGAGAATAATTATGTCAATGCCATTGAGAATAATTACATCAATGCCATTGAGAATAATTACGTCAATGTCAGTGAAGATAATTACGTCAATGTCATTGAGAATAATTAAGTCAATGTCAATGGGAATAATTACGTCAATGTAATTCAGAATAATGACATTAATGTCAATGGGAATAATTACGTCAATGTCAATGGGAATAATTACGTCAATGCCATTGAGAATAATTACGTCAATGCCATTGAGAATAATTACGTCAATGTCAGTGAAAATAATTACGTCAATGTCATTGAGAATAATTAAGTCAATGTCAATGGGAATAATTTCGTCAATGCAATTGAGAATAATTAAGTCAATGTCATGGAGAATAATTACGTCAATGCCATTGAGAATAATTACATGAATGCCATTGAGAATAATAACATCAATGCCATTGAGAATAATTACGTCAATGTCATTGAGAATAATTACGTCAATGTCAATGAGAATAATTATGTCAATGCCATTGAGAATAATTACATCAATGCCATTGAGAATAATTACGTCAATGTCAGTGAAGATAATTGCATCAATGTCATTGAGAATAATTAAGTCAATGTCAATGGGAATAATTACGTCAATGTAATTCAGAATAATGACGTTAATGTCAATGGGAATAATTACGTCAATGTCAATGGGAATAATTACGTCAATGCCATTGAGAATAATTACATCAATGTCATTGAGAATAATTACATCAATGCCATTGAGAATAATTACGTCAATGTCAATGGGAATAATTACGCCAATGCCATTAAGAATAATTACGTCAATGCCATTGAGAATAATTACGTTAATGCCAATGAGAATAATCACATCAATGTCATTGAGAATAATTACGTAAATGCCATTGAGAATAACTACGTCAATGTCATTGGCAATAACTATGCCAATGCCATTGAGAATAATTACGTCAATGCCGTTGAGAATAATTACGTCAATGCCATTGAGAATAATTACGTCCATGCCATTGAGAATAATTACGTCAATGTCATTGAGAACAATTACGTCGATGTCAATGAGAATAATTACGACAATGTCATTGAGAATCATTACGTCAATGCCATTGAGAATAATTACGTCAATGTCAAAGGTAATAATTACGTCAATGTCAATGGGAATAATCACGTCAATGTCATTGAGGATAATTACATGCCATTGAGAATAATTACGTCAATGTCAATAGGAATAATTACGTCAATGCCATTTAGAATAATTACGTCAATGCCATTGAGAATAATTACATCAATGCCATTGAGAATAATTACGTCAATGTCATTGAGAATAATTACGTCAATGTCACTGAGAATAATTACGTCAATGCCATTGAGAATAATTACATCAATGCCATTGAGAATAATTACGTCAATGGCATTGAGAATAATTACGTCAATGTCAATGGGAATAATTACATCAATGTCATTGAGAATAATTACGTCAATGCCATTGAGAATAATTACGTCAATGTCATAGAGAATAATTACGTCAATGTCAGTGAGAATAATTACGTGAATGTCATTGAGAATAATTACATCAATGCCATTGAGAATAAAAACGTCAATGTCAATCGGAATAATTACGCCAATGCCATTGAGCATAGTTACGTCAATGCCATTGAGAATAATTACGTCAATGTCAATGGGAATAATTACATCAATGTCATTGAGAATAATTACGTCAATGCCATTGAGAATAATTACGTCAATGTCATTGAGAATAATTACGTCAATGTCAATGAGAATAATTACGAGAATGTCATTGAGAATAATTACATCAATGCCATTGAGAATAATAACGACAATGTCAATCGGAATAATTACGCCAATGCCATTGAGCATAGTTACGTCAATGCCATTGAGAATAATTACGTCAATGTCAATGGGAATAATTACATCAATGTCATTGAGAATAATTACGTCAATGCCATTCAGAATAATGACGTTAATGTCAATGGGAATAATTACGTCAATGTCAATGGGAATAATTAAATCAATGTCATTGAGAATAATTACATCAATGCCATTGAGAATAATTACGTCAATGACAATGGGAATAATTACGCCAATGCCATTGAGAATAATTACGTCATTGCCATTGAGAATAATTACGTTAATGTCAATGGGAATAATCACATCAATGTCATTGAGAATAATTACGTCAATGCTATTGAGAATAACTACGTCAATGTCATTGGCAATAATTACGCCGATGCCATTGAGAATAATTACGTCAATGCCGTTGAGAATAATTACGTCAATGCCATTGAGAATAATTACGTCCATGCCATTGAGAATAATTACGTCAATGTCATTGAGAATAATTACGTCAATATCAATGAGAATAATTACGTCAATGCCATTGAGAATCATTACGTCAATGCCATTGAGAATAATGACGTCAATGTCAAAGGTAATAATTACGTCAATGTCAATGAGAATAATTACGTCAATGTTAATGGAAATAATCACGTCAATGTCATTGAGAATAATTACATGTCATTGAGAATAATTACGTCAATGTAATTGAGAATAATTACGTCAATGTCAACGGGAATAATTACGTCAATGTCAATGAGAATAACTTACTGGCTATTATACGTCCAACAAAACATCAATGTAAATGTTTTTATGCATTGCACTGAACGATTGCATCATTATTTACGTCATTGGGCGACAAATAATGACTGACCGTCAGACAACCCGACACAGGGTAGCTGTTAGCATTCAATTAAATGACGGCTTCTTATTATTACAATAATTGCAACAATGTAATTCATTCATTGCGTATTACAATTTTGTGATGGCTATTGTTTAATTCATTCATTCATGTTCATTGGGTGGTCCTTTCATTCATTCCTTCATTTATATCGTTAACGAACCGTTAATAGACTAATTAAAAGATTCACTGTACTATTCACTCATTTATTTCTTCATTTTATTATAATGCACCATTACGTAACTATTCACTAATCGGAGCGATAATCTATTTTCACAGTTCCAGGACTTTTGCGTACTGTTGCCCGAGATTAAATACTTTGTGAAAGTTTGAAAAATGGTGTACGCCGTTTAAAACAATTCGAAACAATGCTCAACAGAGCACCACTCCAAATTTAGTTAAAGCGACAATAATTAGCATTCAATTAACACTAATTGATATATAGTTTATTAGACTCTATCATAAATTAACGAACTAATCGATTGATCGTGCGTTTACAGTTCACAGTCACAACTCGCGAGGGCGCCCGCAACTCATTCATTCTATACTAAAAGGC